CTATAACTTAGTCCATAGTGTTCTGAGTAATGTCGAGTTTGTTCAAAATGTAAAGTTTTAAAAAACTCATTCCAAAAGTATTTAAGCAAATATACATTATTTACATTATTAACACATCTGGTATTATAGATGCAAAAGGGTTCGAAATTCTTAATTTCATATTATCTGGAGTAGTAGGGGGTATAGTATATACCATATTTTTAACGTAACCCCATATAAAGAAATCCTTCTTGGTCAATCTTGGTGACCCAGGTGGCAATTATATGGACTCTCCTCTACATATCAATTTATTTTTAAATTTTCTGTAAAGTTAGTTCTTAACATCACTTGAAAAATGAGCGGGAGCTCCGTCCGATTGGAGCTACATTTTTGTTCGGACGTTAAGTGGAAGGTTTTCAAGAAGGATTCAAAAACCTTGTTTTAAGAAATTTAAAGAATTTATTCCATTGAGATTTCTGTAAAAACAATTTAAAAAAAATTCGAGCCGATAACGTAATCGCCCATAATGCCGCCCCAAACATTGACACTCCATATAATATGATCAACAGTACGAAGTAAATGTTTGTTTACTGTATCATTATTGTGAAAAATAGATTCGTCTGTAAACACATTTTTAAAAAATCAGGATCTTCAACTGTATATAAAGTCCCTAAACAAAAATTTAAACGTTTGTTATAACTTCAGCTGTTGCTGCCTTCGTGGCGGATGTGGTTGGAGCAGTGGTGATTTTACTCCTTGTTAGTGCTAGAGCTGTGTTGGTTTTTCTCCTTAGTGCCTTGGAGCAGCCTCTGTAGTTTTATGTATGAGCCTCATTGGTGCATTCTTTACTTACGTGCTGTTCTCGGCACTCCACATATTTCGAGCCACAGTTGCAGGATTTTAAGCTGTGGACGAATCCTTGGCAGTTGTAGCATTACATGATCTCCCTTGTTGTTTTATTGCATCTTGGATGTAGATCCCGACGAAGCATGTCATTTTCTTTGAGGCTACTTCGTCGTTTCCCCTTATCTCGTCTAGTCAACAGAAACAGAGACAGGACGTTCTTATCTGGTCTTTTCGATATCATGTTTGATACCTTTGCTTCGATGTCGTGGATTCTTAACTTACCTGATCACTAATTTTGTCTTTTTATCTCGATCGATTTAATATGCTATCCAATCAATCTTATCATTTTAGGTGAAATCTTTTAAGGTTTTGATCATCGCCAAATACCCTTCTCTGTCAATATGCTGGATGATTATAGATCTGCCTGACTTGGCAAATTTATTGTTGGAGCTGATTCAGTTTTCTGCCACTCTTTGAAAAATTTTCTGGCTTTCCCTACCGTTTTTAGGATCATAGCCGGTGGTTCTGGTGTTGTCTTGGTCTGTTTTTCTGGTTCCGCATTTGTTTTTGGATGCATTTGGCATTGTATTTGCATTGTCTTCGTTAGTCTGTGTCGGTGCTGATTTTTTCATGGCTCTTGTGGCGTATGTTTTCTCTCTTTTCTTCCTTTGATGTATTATGAGCATTTGCTTTTCGCCAATGCCCATTGCATTGTCGAATTCTTCACTTTTGCTGGGTTTTTTCGTTTTGCTTGGTCTGGATTGTCCATCCAAGTTCCGTTTGTTCGACTTCCATTATCTTTTCTTCGTTGCTAGTGTTGGTAATAGGCTGTTCTTGTCCCGAAACTGTTTTTTCCACCGGTTTTTCAATTTGTTTCAATGATTTTTTCTTTTTTTTTTTTTGCTTTTTCGTGGAGTTTGGTCGTTGTTTTTTACCAGAAGTTGTTCTTGCATCCTGTTGATGGTGTCAGTCATGTTGATGATGTGTTGGTCCATCAGGTCGGTTAGCTTCTGTGTTAGCTTCCGGTTCTCTTCATACTTGGCTATAATGATTTGTTGTAGCTCTGTCATTTGGGCTTGAACCTTTTTGATGCTCTCGCATGGTCTTTATTCATGTTGACTATTACCTTGTTCAACTTTTCTAGTGTCATCATATATTCGTTATCTTCCGTCATCTTGTTATCTTTGGTTTTTTTCTTTATCTTTTCGTTATCGAATTCGGCAGCAGAATGGACCCTCTTACGTGAGGTCTCTATTTCTTCTTCTTCTAAATTACTAACGTGAGGCATCCGTTGAGTGCACACTATCACTTTTAGTTACAATGTCTTTAACTTATCATTCACTGAGTCATTGTTTAAAAATCGAAATTTTCATATTCATGCACATTTGTAATATTTATATTAAGGCTACTAAGTATTTCTGAGCTTTCCCTATCTGAATCCATTTTATTAACAATACCTTTATTTCATATATTTTGGCTAGTATTTACATTATTTTCCTCTATGTTTAATTTATTAGTATCCAAATTATTAGTATTAGTATTGTTAAGTAGTTATACTTAATGAATTTATTGTTTTATCTGATTTAGTTAAATAATCATCTTCTGTATTAGTTCTATTAGTTAAGTTCTCCTAATTCGTATTTGTATTATGATAATTACTTTCTTTACTAGTTATTAATTCTTTTTCCATTAAAATTGGAGTGACTTTATTATTTTACATGCATTGTTATGTCTTAAATTTGAATTTAAATTGTTGTCATTGTCTCCCTCAGATATGCTACTTTGGAGGTACTGATCTTTCTGGATATTTGTATTTCACTCTATTGTTTCACTTGTGAGCCTTACGGACCACTCTTTGTATCCTTTAACCACTATAATTTGTTAACATACACTATTAAAGTTTTCCACACAGATATGCAGATCCGCCTTTATTTATTGTAAGTAAGTATTGTAAGTATTTACAACCCCTTGGGCCACGTGGCCGTCTCAACTCTAGATTGTAGTATAGGAACTACATTTTTTTTGTGTTTGGCGCACTTTTCGATTTGAGGATGCGTCCGTACTCGTATACTACTCACCACTCACTCAAACGAGTCTTCTTTTAAAACTTTACATTTTAAGAAAAGTCGACAAAAGTCAGAACATTCTCGACTTAGATATAGGGAACCCTTATGAAACTATATCTTATTTTTTGTGGACAATTTGAAAATGCAAAACAAAATACAAGATGACTCATTAGAAAAAATATACCTTTGATACGCCGTAATTTATTGGGACAGCCTGTATATTTTCAAATATTTTTAGAATGTAGCTTTTCTTAACTTACAAACTATTAAAGTAAATTTTTTTTAAATGTTTTGCCATCTCGCTGTAATCTTCCGTTGCGTTAGTGGTGACTCACCTTGTACGTTCATGTTGTAGCTGATAATAATTTGCAGTGTAATTAAATAATACTTAAATCTTATTTTCGTTTAGCAACGACCACCAATTCTACTCTGACATCTCAAACCATACACAAAAAAATGCTGGAGACTTCTGTTCACCTTTCATCTTTCATTTTGTTTCATGTTCCATGCGATCTATCTTCTTTTTTTTTTCATTCGTCAATTGGTTCTATTCCATGTCAGCTGTAAGTCTTATTTTCCATCGGAGCGAACGTCCATTATTATTTAACTAAACCCAAACCAATAAACGTCCACTGGTCATCACAAACCTACTATATTATAAATCATTGTTTGAAAAATTTGGAAATTATAACACAAATGTTCATTTGCTGATGTTTTATGGTTTCATTAAATGTTAGATCAGGTTAGGGTTATTGGTCTATTTTAGTATGCCTTTGTCAACATTTATCATAAAGAAAAGTTTTACCTTTTTCATAACAGATGAAGAAACGTTAAAGTAGAATAAAATTCATTTGCAAAATCGAAGGGGAACTGTCAAACAATCGGTTACATGAAGGATTCAGATCTGTTACATATATCTACCACATTTCTCAGATGCGTACGTTTACTTAGTAAACATTATGGCATGAATACTCATTTTGGAGCCATAAGCAGCTTCTTTCAGAAGAAAAAAAAAAAGAAAAACAGTTGTAAATAAATTTGTTTAAAATTCGGATAACTGGTTGGTCTTATGCAGCAGTGATGTCCTAAAAGTTTTAAAAAAGAAAACAAATTATAGTTGATTCTTATTTCTAACACCTGTTTACTGTACAAATATCACTATGTTCAATATGCCACATGCTAGTTCCAAAATATTATCTTTATACAATAATTAAACCTAAAGGTAGCATATCACCATGACAATGATTTGGTTGATGTGCCTCGCTTCCCGAGTAATACATCACTGCTCCTTCTGTTCTGATTATTCCGTTTGCCGGCCCTCTAATTTTACTTATGCCTAAGACATTGATTTTAAGTCTTCATTTCTTTGACCGAATTTTTCAATTTACCAGCTTGATATAGTGTTCGTACATTCCATGTAGCAAGTTTAATAATTTTTGTAACCTACTATATAATTGAAATGATTTTCTTGTTCCAGTTGATAATATTATAGCCAACGCTTGAACACGAGCGTGCCACATAAAGAAGATCAGCAAAAAGTATTTCTTTTCTGATTGCTTCTTTGTCTATAGACCCGGTCGAAGGCCTAGTTAACTAGGTTAACTGAGATATTGTAATCTAGAAATAATATAAACTTAAACAACAAAAATCCTAGACTAACGTAGACACATATTTTAGAAAGTGAATCAAATATTGCGCAAATGAAATTTCAAGTAAAATAACCCTTCTGGATTTTTAGTAGAATACTATAAATTTCCGAAGAACAATATTTCCTTCTCGTGTTTAATATATTTAACATAATAAATCTGGCCCAAGTTTCACACTTGCGAAGAATTTTTTATATTCCACATACATTATGTTATAGATATGTTCAAATGTTAACAGTTGTTAGAAGTTGTATCTATCAATAATCAGGAATAACCACTCTGTAGCTTACCAAGTAGTTAATTGAGGTACGTCAAGTGCAAAATATATAACAACCAGGCTTATTTTGCTACAAAAGTTAAAACTGGTTGTAACAATACTGCAGATTACCTCAAGAAAGTACCGCTGTACCTTATACTAATACTGAGTTTTTTACAAATTCGAGAAAATTCTACAATCTAATAGCTACTGAAAAATACTTGGATCATTCAACTGGACGGGCAAGATCGTCTGAGCTGTGTGTTGTAGTATTGTCTGGTGGCTTGGCAACTGCGTTTGGAAGTATGGAACTAGGAGACCCACAGAATTGCTCGAATTTCCTAAACAGAAAAGATATAAATTTGAAATATATAAATATAAAATATATTTTACGAAAAATACCCTGCCATTTATATCTACATGTTTGGCTGTACTTTTATCTAATCAGATAATAGTAGTCTGAAGACAAACAGTAACACAAATGCAGATCAACTAGCCACGTTTCTCACTATAAAGCGGGTAAAGTAGGTCAGGATACTTCCCGGCTAATACTACTTGAGAAAATGCAAGTACTGGGAAACATATCACAGTGTAGTCAAAGCACAACTTTTAGAAATATATAGCAGGACATTCATGTATTTTAGACGCGTTTGTCACTTTATTTATTTACATTTACATACTTACCAGCAAGAAAGTCCATTTGTTGACTAAAGAAAATCTTATCATCTATTAGCGGAAAGTTGAATAGGCCATTCTGCAACAGCAATTCCTCTACTTTTGTGAAATTAACATCTGACAGCACAGGAACGATATCAGCAGATGTATCCAGAGGTGTATTGCCAATGGATATAATCTAAAAAATACATAAATAATAAATGTTTGAAAAGGTTTCCGCGGTTAGCAACAAGTGTTGCAATCACGCATGTAACCAAGGATTTTTTTCTTTCCATTTTATGGCCTTGGCATAGTCTGAATTGACCTGTGTTCCTGAGCCGGATAGCTCAGGCGGTAGGATCTCTGACTTCCACGCAAAAGGCCAGTTATCGAATCCCAACGCCTGCGAGTTTAGGGGTAATAATTGGCGGTTGAAGCTTAGCACTGGCCCTGATACCTTTCTTGTATCCTGTATTTTACCAATTTAGTGAGAGAAAGTTTTTGTGTTTTAAATTTCATCTATTCATCAGGGACACCTTCTGGTTCTGGAGATCTATTGTTTTTCAGTTCTTTTATAGCTTTTTGTACTTCTATAACTTCTCCGGTCATTTTTTTACACTCAATGTTTACTTCCGTTGGTGATTGAGTCAAAAATTCATCTGACTTTTGCTGTTAGTAATTCGACGTAGTACTTTTCCAATTTTTGTTTTGATATTATTTGAATATTTGTGCTTTCTCTTTTATTAGTTCTTATTTTAATAAGGAACTTTCATGTCTGTAAATTTTCCGTCTCCTAGGTAGGTACTACTCTCCTGGCATTTCTTATCGGACATTTCTCTTTTGGCTGCCAATATTTTTCTTCTTATTATTTTCAGCCCCAAATTTTATATCTCTTTGTTTTTTACCACCTATTCATGTGATATACCTACAGTATAATTTTCTCTTTTAGGAAGTTTTCTATTTCTTTGTTTCACCATAACTTACCAGTTCGTCATATAGCATCACTTTGATAGCATCGGATAGAAACATAGTGAATATCATCACGTTGAGGCTATCCACAATGTTTTCGTATATTAGTTAATATTGAGCTTAATACCACTCTAAAAATGTACATATAAGAAACACAACTGTATACGACAAATAATGGCACTTTTTTTGTATTAGCATATACATTGAGTCATTCAGCCAGGTATATAATGATTCAGCCAATAACTGTCACAATCAGCGTAACAGATTTCGCATAAACTTACACGAAAAATTATGATAACTAAAATTTAAGAAAGATCGATTATCAAAATCTATAATTAGAATACCTGTGGACTGGTAGAAGACAAGATGTTGGTTGCTGAAGGATTTACAATAGGAGGCGACACTGACATAGTAGGCGTTGCAGGCAGTGCCATAGGCGTCGAAGGGGTCGACGGCGGTTCTTCCTTAGGCTGCAATTCCGCTCCAGTCTTGTGGTCAACTTTATGTCTCCTTCTCGTATGTTTTAACCAATTGGGATAATTGGTAAAAGTGCGTTCGCAGTACTTGCATTTATACGGGCGTTCTCCGGTGTGTATGTTATAATGTTGCTAAAAAATTTTATATTTTACATACTTTGGATTTTGAGTTATGTATCAATACTATTACAAGTGATCAAAACTTGAACTTTGAGTAACATCTGAAGAGTATCTGGTTCATATTCCTCTTTTTATATGTACTATATATTATATTCTACAGTGTAGTTGATTAGTGCAAGGAATCTCAGTAAATCTGATAGTAAAGATACAAAAAAAAGTTATTTACAAAAATTGCGGGCAGTTTTTTAAACTCCACATTTTAAAATTAGTAACAATCTTACAAGGTGTTCTACCGGGTATTTTAAGAGTTATAACTAATATTACACGAAAATCGTGTCAAGTTTAACTCCCTGTATAATTAAAAAGGAGTATAGGAACAATGATCTATTGCAACCATAGTTTTTAAATAATAGTAAAAAATTATAAAAGTAAACAATTTTGATAATATTCATTAAATCAAAAACGGGATAAGTCAAAATGCAAGTATAGTTTATTCGTCTTCCGGGTTTGGACCGTGTCATTTGTGAGTGACCCAAAAGTGGGTTCATCTCGACGTTTCGCTACAATTGTATGTAGCTTCTTCAGGAGAACAAAGAAAAGGAAAAAAGAAAACAAAAGAACAGGAAGATGGGTAGTTAGCAACGGTAACTCAGTTACTCAACTTAACCAGAGGCGAATACTAACTACCAAGATGGGCATTTGGTCACAGTAACTCAACTACTCAACGCAGCCAGAGGTGAAAACCAAATGCCAGGACAGGCTTCACGTCCAACAGCTCAGAACACTAACGCGTCGAGAGGCGGGGAGTGAATCCGACGATTACTCCGCTACCGCTCTATTTATAGTCGCGGTGCCTGTCGTGTCGGGACGTATCGGCACACTTCGTGGCGCGAACGTCAAGAAGCGCGCGCTGGCCAATCATGTGGCTGCATAGTGGTGGCGGGGCCGGACGGTGGCTCTAGACTGAGATTCCAGATGGGAGACAAGTAGTATCCTTCCTCTCGATTGATATTATGGGGATTTTTTCGGATCTCTAGAGATTCGCGGATTTTCCTGGAATAAAAGAAGGGGCACTTAGAAATAATATGGGTAAGTATATGGGCACCCATATTATTTCTAAGTGCCCCTTCTTTTATTCCAGGAAAATCCGCGAATCTCTAGAGATCCGAAAAAATCCCCATAATATCAATCGAGAGGAAGGATACTACTTGTCTCCCATCTGGAATCTCAGTCTAGAGCCACCGTCCGGCCCCGCCACCACTATGCAGCCACATGATTGGCCAGCGCGCGCTTCTTGACGTTCGCGCCACGAAGTGTGCCGATACGTCCCGACACGACAGGCACCGCGACTATAAATAGAGCGGTAGCGGAGTAATCGTCGGATTCACTCCCCGCCTCTCGACGCGTTAGTGTTCTGAGCTGTTGGACGTGAATCCCTGTCCTGGCATTTGGTTTTCACCTCTGGCTGCGTTGAGTAGTTGAGTTACTGTGACCAAATGCCCATCTTGGTAGTTAGTATTCGCCTCTGGTTACGTTGAGTAACTGAGTTACCGTTGCTAACTACCCATCTTCCTGTTCTTTTGTTTTCTTTTTACCTTTCTTTGTTCTCCTGAAGAAGCTACATACAATTGTAGCGAAACGTCGAGATGAACCCACTTTTGGGTCACTCACAAATGACACGGTCCAAACCCGGAAGACGAATAAACTATAATTCTGACTCTGGCCGTGGAAGCCTACGATTTCAAAATGCAAGTACATTATTTTTAAATGGATCGCATTGTATGTTATATTAATATCGAAAAGTACTATTACCCAGCTTCAATTTGTATAAAGCGAATTATTATATTATTATTAAGCATATTATTATAAGTTCGTCATGATTGACTTGTACACAATACTTGTACACATACTTGTCACAAACTGACAGTAGCCATTATTGCATGTTAGTTTAGGAATCAAATAACGTTACATTAAAGGTAAGATGCATGAAGGAAAGAAGGCATGGAATTAAAAAACTTGAAAGAAATAAAGGTGGCTAAATTTCTATAGAAGCTAAATTTCTATAAAAAAATTGAATAACTAATACGGACGTTTTCAGGTTCAGTAAAGAAAAAATAAGAAACAATCAAGAAAAGGAAGTAAAAATTTTTTGGTCCCCTAATGAAAAATAATAATTTAAAATTTTATTTTGGATAGGAACTATCTCGATATAAAAGGAAAAGAAGGAAACTGGAAGAATCAAAATTCGTGAAATACTAGACTACTGTGGTATTTACAACGATTCCAACATATTTCTTCACCTAGTTCATTTAGATAAGCTTTTCGCCAGTTCAATATTCAATACCAGTTTTTTTTAACGATTTAAATCATTCCGTATACTTTAAATTAATGTCTTACTTACCTTTAATTTTGTGCTACTCAAAAATCCTTTGTTGCAATATCCACATACAAAGGGTCTAGCTGCCGCATGGACTAGGCTGTGCACCTTCAAACACCTCTCAGTCTTATACATTTTTTGGCAAACTTCACACTTGAACGGTCTGACCTCACTGTGGAAGCTGTAGTGGCGAACTAAATGAGATTTTTCAGCAAACCTAAAATGCGAAAAGAGTAATTACTAAAAAATATAAAAATATAAAAGTAAAACATTTGTTTTATGACATTTCGAATTCCAGTCCGGAAATTGCTATCAGAAAAACTTATTGAATATACGAACGGTGTAATCTGTAAATATTATGTGTTATCTGTAAATACAGTTTAATACAGGTTAAGGATAATATTATTTTTATTTAATAAAATTTTTCTGAGAATTATTTTCGGGAACTGGAAACGGAAACGGGAACTGAAAATGTCAAAAACATGTAATTTTAATTCAATTATGTTGGGTTATTACTAAATATTATCAAACATAAAGTTCTACATTGTAAAAATACTGTTTAAATATGAAATCTTACGTTTTCCCGCATTTATTACAACAGTGAGGTTTATCCCCTGTGTGTTGCTTCACGTGTTGCTGCATATTGACTTTTTGTGTAAAAGTTTTTCCGCAGACATCACACATAAATCGTCTCCCGAGTCTGTGGACGTTCATATGCGATGTTAAACCTCCTCTGGTGTGTAATCTAAACAAAAAAGTATATTAATTAAATAAATTTAAAATATATGAGAGAGATTACTTGATCGTATTTGTATATAAACAGAATAGGAGAAGTAAACACGAGTACATAGGATCAACTAAAGTGTTATAGTAAAGGATAAAGGCATAGTTTGTGAGCTACGCCTAGTAGGCTACAGCCGTAGCCCTAAGTATTTCTACCTTAGTTTTCATCTGTAAGATTCTGATAAGTTTTAATAGGTAGAATTAACTGAATAAAGAATCGGTAACGAAACAATTTTAGAAATGAAGAACCTGAAAACTTTGCACTGTAATAAAGAGCATTCTAGCATTAATGCCACAAAGTGATTGCGTTACTCTTCTAGTAACGATTTCTTAACTTGATTTATAACGGGCTACTCCTCAATAATGACGACCAATAAGCCAGAAATGCTTATTTATTTTAGCTTCCATCTTATTATACATTTTAATTCCATTTTGGTACCAGCTATGTCGTTATTCTTATACTTTAGTTAATACAGGTTGTAATATTTAATTTTACTACTTAGTAACACTAGCGCTTTGAAAATAGCTAACAACTTCAATCATCATTTTCTCAATAATACACTTTACATCTGTGCTGATATATACAGTGGGTGATCAAATTATTAGAGCAACTTAGGAAAAGTAAATTTTTTTTACAAAAAGATTATATCGCACCCTCAGTGCAAGACTGCAGGAAGTCAAAGTTACTAAAGTTTTACACGGGATAGATATGCATGTTTACAATCGAATTCCATGATTACTTCATTTTCATAAAATTTTGAGTTACTGCAATCTTGGGCTGTATTGAGCTGTATAATGTATTAATGCGTTTGTTTCCATGTTTATCTTGTAACACTTTATGGCAATACAATAAATAGTCTGACAACAGTAGAAATATAGCGGGCGTGACAATACGTGACTCAGATGCCATTGCCTGTCAGTGCTGTCCAGCGTAGCTTGAAACTCGTGTGCATATTATTTTGTGTTCTTGGTGTTTAGAATTATAATAAATAGTTTTCATTGCTCTCTAGTGATATTCTGACAGTCGTATACTATTTTTTGAGAATTTAGCAAACATTGCATGTTCGTTACACCAGTGGTACTAGAACATCATGGGGAAAACCAAAAACATCTCACCAAAGAAAATAACGGGAATAAAAACTTTATTATTAAACACCAATCATTCCAACAGAAAAATAGCATCAATATCTAAAGTTTTAAGGGTAACTGTGGACTATATAAAGAAAAAACTTGACGAAAATTTCGATTTGACCCCACGGAGCAAACAAAAATGTGGTCTAAAAAAATTACAACACCACGAGATGAAAAAAAAAATTCAAGATATTGTCTTGGCAAACAGAAAACAACCTTAAAGGATTTTAACTAAAATAATCATCGAGCAAAAAGATAAAAGAGGGAATGTAAAGGTAGTGGGAACAAAAATATTGTTAGACAGGAAGTGCTATCTTGAGAGGCCACTTTAAACAAGGAAAGACAGTCTCTTTCCTTGTTTGAGAAGTCAAATTTAGTTTGGTTATGTTATTGTTTGTCCTCTTACATATCTGTGGTTTGTCCCAACTGTCACATGAAATTTTATTTATATTGAAGTTTTTTACCAATTGTGTCACTTTTTAGACTATTATAGTTAATATTTAATTAAAACTTTGTCGTCTGAAAAATATTTTATAGCTATTGTTAATAACTGTTGGAAAATTTAAATTTAGCGCCTTTGCATTTCCGGATATGTCCGCCATCAGAGGCCACTTTTTTGGTCTCCTTTTCATAACGATTAGATTCAATCTTTTATATTTTTGCTCGATGAAAATAATGCAGGAGTCTGGCATTAATATTTCAGCAATGGCAGCTCGTCGGCGAATAATGGATCTAGGGTTTTCAACCTGTCGCCTTGCAAAAAAGTCGCTATTCACACCAGTCATGAAAAAGAAAAGGTTTTATGGGCTAAAAATCATAAAGATTGGACAATTGATGATTGGAATCAGGTAAATGACATTACTTAAAATTGTTTTTCTTTTATGTAGTTACAGTTGATCAATTTGTCCACAATTCTAAAATAATAATATTCCAGGTTTGTTTTTAGACGAATCTATCGTGTAGGTCCTCATAGATAGAGTTAAATTTGTGGGGAGAAGACCTGGGGAATTTGTGGAGAAAAATACAAAGCAGAACAAAGCCAAAATAAGCGGGATGGTCGAATAAGAAAAGTATAAAGTAGAAAAAATAAAGACACAGGTAAAAGGAAGAACACCCAAAGTTTATAACAATTTGTTACTTCTACATGTAGATTGTATTAAGGGAAGTAAATTACATTCAAATATAGTTATTTTCTACATGTTAAAAGTGATATTGATTTATTATAGACTTATATGCATGAAATGTAAATTTAGGATAGTATTAGATTACTGAACTACGGCCACCACTGGGGTAACACTGACATGTCTATTTGATTTGTATATACATGTAATAATTTTCCAAGGTATTTTTAAATTATATTTAATTGTATTAATTTGAATTTTATTTATATCCTTCTACACCTGTTGTTATTGAACACTATACAAAGTCAAAGGTATTTCTGAACTCAAATAAAAAGTCTGAGATATAATAAAAATCTAGTAATTAGATTTTTAGATCATTGATCATTAAGATTATCTTAACCCTTAACTGAAGAGACCCTATTTTAATGCACATAGAACATACAAACTTTTTTAATATATTTAATAGTATATTGTTCTGAAGCTATTTTCTTGTGGCATTGTAAATTAATTACTATTTAACTGGGAATAAGCCACAATTAAAGATAAAAATTCGTTTATTGACGTTTCAATTTCCACTTCGGAAATCGTTCGGTATTTTGAGAACGATTTCCGAAGTGGAAATTGAAACGTCAATAAACGAATTTTTATCTTTAATTGTGGCCTATTCACAGTTAAATAATATTTAATAGTACTCTAAAAGCTGTTTGTATTTGCAATTGAACACAGTAAAGAAACTCAAAATATTGTCAGAGAATAAAAAAATAACTACGACTTTCTAACAGCTAATCATTTACAGTTCGTGTCAGTCACATTTTTTACTTTTCATTACAGTGAAAAAATAAATATACATCAAGTAAGTTTTTTTATATGAAAGGCACTAACACATACTGGTTTACGTAAAAATTAACTCACGAAATTATTTTAATGTTGAAAAAAATGTCTAGCAACTGTAAAAAATACATACAATTGGTACAAATGGGTTTCGTACACTGAAGACACACAGGTGTGTACAATGGTATCTTATGTGGCCAGAAAAAACAAAGCTACAATTTTAATATCATCAATGCATGATAGAGCTTGTAATGATTCTTCAATAGAAAAACCAGAAATAATTTATATTATAATGACAACAAAGGAAGTGTAGACTGCATGGACGAAAAATGTGCTAAAAGTTCGTGTAGTCGAAGAACTCGCAGATGGACTCTTGCTGTTTTCTTCGTATAATGGATATGGCTATTGCAAAAGCATACATACTGCACCAAAGTTATAAAAACAATTCTAAAATTCAAAAAAAATCTGCTTTTGCTAAAATATTAGCAAATCAATTAGTAGAAGATCATATGAAGTGAAGAATGTGCAATTTTCATGTACCGCGGCTTTCATGCTAGTATAGCGGGTATTCTTGGAATTTCTGAGAATAGCCAAGTAGATGATAACGAGCCATTAGTACTAGAGAAGTCAAAAATACGTTATTTGTGCCCTCGAGAGAAGAACCGTATGACCAAATTCCTTTTTGGTCGATGTAGAAAACCACTCTTCTGCAAATCCATAAACACTAGAACCAGGTTCTCTGGTTTTATTGGCCAAAAATGACGGAGGTATTTCACGTTTGTTCTTTTTTAAAGTTCCTACATACGTAAGATTATTTTTCTGCAAAACATCTATTAGCTCTAATGACGAAAACCAGTTGTCCGCAGTTATGTTTCTGTTGCTGCCAATTGAACGTTTAGTTAACCGCAAGACAGCTTGTGTTGGTTTTGAGTATCTTTTTTTCTTCGGGTAAAAGACTTAAGCCAGTATATATACCCGTTATAGAAATAACTGGTTCTTGCATCAGTAAGAGCCAGTATTTTGATGCCATACTTGCATGGCTTATTAGGCATATACATTTTAAAATGGCACCTTCCACTAAAATTAACAAGCATTTCAGCAACAGTTGCCGATTGACCTAGACTATATGCGTTTAGACAATTTTCAATAAAAGAATTGAATATATAAGAAACTGCTGCTACTGGATCATGTTTTTTCTTTCTTCTCAATCATCTGGATTACTAAAACGAAGAGCTGATAAAATAACTGCAAAACGCTTTTGATTCATGACAGTTCTAAAAATTTCCCTGCCAGTTCCATCTGTTGCAAAAAGCGTTTTTATATTCTCACGGTTCGATTTGAATACCGCAGAATATACGAGGAGTCCTATGAAAGCTTTCATCTCCGTTATGTCAATATCCTGGAGGATGTTGAGTACATGATATGTTGATCATGTACTTGATCAACATCACTAGCGTCACTATCTAATTTGTCAAACCACTTCAAAGCTATATCTTCAAAATCAGCATCGGTAAAACGGATTTTTTTTATGGACGCGACGTTTTCAATGAAACAAGATGTAACCTGAACCGAGACGTGCCGTCTAACAGATTAACTAAAACTGATTTTCGGTTATAACTTTTCCAAATATGCGTATTTCTTTCAACGAATAATATAAAGAATAGATGAAGTGATGTGCCGATGGGTTGAGTTATTTGTACAGGGTGTTAAAAATTCTTTATGGTGTAGTCTGTCAGACGGCACCTCTCTAGTTAAGGATTAATTATCAAATTCAATATTTTTTTGTTTTTTCTGTGATGATTGAATTGCCAGGAGATTCAAGATTGTCCGGCGCCTTTTGTGCTAGTTCATTTAGCGTTACCCAGGGTGCACGTGTAGT